GAACTTCCGGGTTCGATTTATCGCGTCTGGTCTGGACGCGATAAATCGATCCCGGAAGTGCTCACTGTCGACTGCGGTACTCCAGCTCGGCGAGAGGAGTACCGCGGAGTCGACGGGGAGCCTGCCTGCCGCTTGTGGACCGCGTCTGAACCGCGGTAAGTTTGAACTAAGGTATGTCGACTTCAGCTACGTTATTCACGTAGCTGAAGTTGCGTACCTTAGATCGAATTGGGGTGTTAGTGTAGACCAGGCCTGAGAGCCTCAATTTCTTAAGTTCAAATGCCATTGCTGACATATGGCCTAACAGTTGGAGGCAGATCCTGGCTGATGTCTGTGGGCTGGCTTGCATTATAGTGATTAGGTTGACAAGAGGGATAAATCTGTGAGTGGGCAGAGAGGATGTAGCCAGAGAGTTGAGGTAGGCCCCGATGAACTCCAGTATCGGCACAGGTGTGGATGTTGATTTTTGTTGATTTATTTGTAGACCCAGCTGTGTGAAGAGAGCTAATGTCTTTGAAGTAGCTTCTAGTGCCTCTTCTCAAGTCTAGGCTTTGAATAAGCACTCATCCAGATAGGGGAATATATGACCCCTTGTCTGCTGAGGTGAGCCACTACCACAGTGAAGACTTTTGAGAATACCTGTGGAGCCGTGAACAAGTCAAAAGGGAGTACTTTGCATTGGAAATTATCTGTTCCTAGAACAAAATTGAGAAACTTTCTGTGTGAGGGAAGAATCATTATGAGGAATATTCATCCTGGAGGTCAAGGGCCGAGAAGCAGTCCCCTCGTTCTAGTGCTGGAATTATCAGTGCTAGTGTGACCATCCTGAATCATTGAGTCTTCATGAATTTGTTGAGTCTTCTTAGGTTGAAAATGGGTCTCCGTCCTCCATTTTTTTCTGGGTTAAAAAATAATGGGAGTATAAACCCTTCCCTCTTGTTGTGCAGATTCTGGTTCTATTGCGCCCAGGTGTATGAGATGGTTTACCTTCTGTCATAATAGGTGTTCATGAGAAAAGTCCCTGAGGCGAATGGGGAGGCTGGGTGTGTAGGGGAGGTCGACGTAAATTGAGTGGAATAGCCAACCTGGTTGATTTCTATTGTCTAGATTGTCTGATGTGACATTTCACCATGCTGCATGGAATGGGGTCAGATGGTCTCTGGATGGATGGATGGTGTTGGATCAGTCCAGCAATAGAAAGTGTGGGAGGTGTCTCTGGTCCTTGACCAAATCCTCAAAACTATTGTTTAGAGGGAGGTTGTTGGGATATTGAGGGCTGAGAAGGGAGTGGTCTCCATCTTGTGGGTCTCTGCCTCCACCTTTGCAGGTACTATTGTCTCTGAGGCTGGGTGTAGGGTGCAGATATTGTTCTTTGTGCTGAGTAATACTTCCCATTTCTTCTTTTGTGTAGGCGTATATATGCCCAAGGATCTCAGTGTCATCCTGGAGTCCTTCAACTTGTGTAGGGACTCAGCTGTTTTGGTTGAGAACAGTTTGGGCCTTCGAATGATATGTCCTCGACAGTAGATTGTACCTCTTCGGGAAAACCTGATAGAGGGAGCCAGGAAGCTTGTCACATGACTACGGCCATGAGAGCCTCATTTATTGGAAAAGCTATCTTGGAAGAGATTGAAGTATGGAGGATATCCAACAACTTATGTTGGGACTCCGCAACTTCTTCCAGAGATATCTCCAATGAGTCTGTGATCCTCTTAAGCAGTTCTTGGAACTGTATAAAGTCATCCCCTGTCATGGGTGGTGGGGGTATGAATTGACAGCTGATATGACTTACTGATCCGAGGTCTCCTCCAGTTCCCTGATTGCTTCTTCTGGGGATTCAGAGGGTCCAAATACTAAGGATCATGGAGACTGCCTCGACTGCTCCTTGTGTGGACTCTGAGGCTTAGGGTAGTGTTGGTGGTACACTGCCCAGGGGTCCTAGTAGGACCAGTGTGGTAGGAATGGCATTTATGATGGCAACTCTACCATCCTTGAGTTTCAGGTCTTGGGTGGTATTGATGCTGTTCTAGTAGGCCCAGTCTGGTGGCTGTCTGCATAGGCAAGGAGTTATGGGAAGAGTAGATTTCCCCTTGATCATCAGCCTCCTCCTCATTGCTGGATAAAGGAGGAGCTGACCTGGTTCGTGTTGTAAGTTGGCATGATACTGAGTGTACTGGAGTAATATCGGTACCGAGGAGTGGGGATTCTGGTGCTGACGAGACCAAAAGTTCTTTATGCTGGAGAAACTGCTGCAGTACAGAGGGCATTAGTACTCAGGAGGCTGTTGGTGGTGGTACCAATGCCTTTACCGCAGAAGTCAGTGCAGAGGGTTGTGCACTGTGCATTGTGGAGGCAAGAGGTGGTACTATAGATCGTAGCACTGCCGAGCTGCTCATCGCCACATGTCTGAGCAGCTGCTGTGTTACTGAGGCAGGGCTTGTAAGTTTCCTTTTTGTGCCTTTGTCTGAGCTCGTCCACCTAGAGTCTTTGGCTTGCATAGTATCTATGGAACTGGATGATCCTGCTGCCTCAGAGGTGGATGGTCTTGGTGCAGTTGGTACCGAGGAGGTCTGACGGGTTGGGGAATGCTTCTTTTTGGCAGCTTCCTGAGAAGGGGAGGTTGGAGACTGTTTTTTGTTTCCTTTCTGACAGAGAGATGGGTAACCTTTGTCAGATACCACTGTTGAAGACCAGTGTCCAGGAGGGGTCCATGATCCCAGACTGGACACCATGTGCAGACTTCTCCATCAGGAGGAGTTTTAGATGTAAATTCCTTGCTTTCCTGGTGCAAGCCTTCATATTATGGAAGTGGGAGCACTTTTGTGGGATGTGTGTCTCACCAAGCCAGCGGACACACTGTCCGTCAGAAACCGGGATTGAAGACCGGCAAGTGAGGCAACATTGAAAACCTGGGGAGCCAGCCATGCCCCTTTGAATAGGGTTTCTCCTATGAGGGATGGTAACTATACTATATTAAGGGATATACTAATAACTGAAATTTAAATTCCTAAGAGGAGAAAAATAAATAAATAAAGTAAGAAAGAGGTAGGGTAGTTAACTATTTAACTAACTAACTGGGTTCTAAAAACGAATACTCTGAAGATAAAAGTTAAGCTAAAGATAATACTGAGAGGCGCTGCCCATTGCTCTATCTCAAGCCAATGGCGGTAGAGAAGGAACTGAAGGGGGGTTGGTTGCACAGCACCGTGTAACCGCCAGAAACAGTGCAAGATGGGAACAGTGCCTGTGTGTCCCAAACAGGCACTGTTACTGAAATTCTCCAATTACAAGCACAAGGGCGCAGATTCTCCTAAAGTGGAGCACCCACAGGGACATTCCTTGAAAAAGAATATATATTCCTGATCTCACACTGTAGTAGTAAACATCTTTAAATTGGTCAGTGGAATGGGGGGAAAAAGATTAAAATGAATGCCTCAAAATGCTTTTTCCATTGTGGATGGAGCTCAGAGTGGTTTCTGTGTGATTTGAAAGGTGAGACAAATGAACTGTATCTAATAGAAAAGGTAGCAGAAATTTAGAAGATGACCCAGAAAAATTGACTAAGAGTTAACAATGGGAATAATCTGGACTAAATCAAAGAGCTCAAATCAAATTCTACTTTGGAATAAGCAAACAAACTCCTACTGAATTTGAAGAAAACTCAATGAGAATTATCTAATCCAATGGGAGTTCCAAGGAACTCTTTGATTTGAGTTCTACTGAATACATTTTAATCTTAATTCATTATTTTAGAAGAACTAAAAATAATTATTTTGATAAGGTGTAATTTGTACTTTGGCATGCTGTTAATTGGAACTAAATTGTGACTGCATCATAACTGTAAAGGAGATGTAATGAAATGTTTGAATTAGCTCAGCTACTGTCAAATTAGATGGTTTAGAATAGGCCATTTACAAAATATCTGAATTGGGTATTAATGAAATTATCTCAGGTGACTGATAATGTGATACACAAGCTTTCATTTCTAGCTCATTGGTTCAAAAACGGTCCATGACATGGATGTGAGAAAAAGGTGAACAACTGGAAGAATTTCTTAATGGTGAAATCTGATGAACTGTGAAACAGTCACCCAAAAGAATTGGTGAAGCACTATAGTTTGAGATATTTAAAATCAGAGTTGACAAAAATATTAGAAAAATAACTGTAAGGAACAATCCTCTAATGGCAGGTGGAAGCTCTAGGACAGCAGTTCTTAACAAGGGGTATGCATACCCTTGAGGGTATGCAGAGGTCTTCCGGGGTACATCAACTCATCTAGATATTTGCCTACTTTTACAACAGGCTACATAAAAAACACTAGCAAAGTCAGTGCAAACTAAAATGTTATACGAAGACTTGTTTATACTGCTCTAGATACTATATACAATGAAAGGTAAGTATAAAATGTATATTCCAATCAATTTATTTTATAATTATACAGTAAAAATGAGAAAGTAAGCAACTTTTCAGTAAGTCTGCTGTGACACTTCTGTAGTTTTATGTCTGATTTTGTAAGCAGGTAGGTTTTAAGTGAGGTGAAAGTTTGGAGATGCAAGATAAGTCAGATTCCAGAAAGGGGTACATTAGTCTGGAGAGGTTGAGAACCACTGCTGTAGGTAACCCAGTAGCTTTCATTTAACATCCAAGCTCCTCTAGGCAGGGGCAGGGACTGTCTTTCTATATTTATATTGCACCTAGCAAACTGGGGCCCTTATTCTCCTGATTTGGGCCTCTGAGCACTACTTCAGTGCACATAATAAATAACGCAATTATAATATTATGATGATTCTATTCCCATGGAAGAGGTGACACCATCCATTAAAAGTTATGGTCCTGACTCTCTCCTCTACCGAGGTCCAAAGTGGAAGGACAGTGGATCTCAGATCCCAGGAGCTGACATTCAGTCAATCATTTAATCTTATTTTACTTGTTTTTACACTTCCTATTAGAACGAATAAGGAACCCTATAATAGTGAAGAAGCCCTAAGTCTCAGGCTTACCAATACTAGTGCAACTTTCACCATCATTATTGATCTTCCAGCCTTCATAACAGGAGCACTTGACACTCTGTTTGTGCTGTTCACACAGTTGACTACACTTAAGATGTTTGGTACAGTAATCCACAATTTCACAGGTTTTGTTGTCTGGATTTAGATAAAGTCCTGGAGGGCAGGAACACACAATTCTTCTTCCAGGAACTACAGAACACTGGTGGCTACATCCACCATTGTTAAGCGAACATTCATCTGAAATAACAGGAAAAGAACATTAAATATTGCAAACAATATCAGCTGTATTATATTATACTTCTTAAGAGTGTCTCAGTAATAAAAGAAATTAAAAACCTTTAGTAATCACAAACTGAATTTAAATCTGGCTGAACAACTATTTGTTTGGAATACTTATACAGAAAAGTAGTGCATTCAGTTTGCACACATCTGAGGTTGCATTACTGTTACAGGATAGCAAGTTTTTAGCACTGTAGAACTACAATATAGATTATAAATTTTGACAGATTATCAAAGGTATTTTACCATTCACGCATTCACTTTGTATTTACTGGATAGTACACTTCTTTTCTGATTTACTTAATGCTACCATTCTTTGGGCTTCTTGTTTACTATTCACGTATGTGGTTTTTTTTTTTTTAAATAATTGGAAAAAAGAACAACAGAATTTCCAGACAAAAGCTACATTAAGATAGGTCAGTTTATTTAAGGTTGACAGTATATTTCAGAGTAAAATACATTACAGCGATGTTGTAATTCTCTCCAAAATAAGCATTCAGTGTCCAAATTCTGCCCTGCAGTGACACCACGAGGAAAGGAGGCGGGGAAAACACTATGTGTCTAACCTAAGCTGGAACTACAAACACTAAACTATGTTCATTGTAACTGTATAGCTATTGCATGGTGTTATTACAGGACAGAGTTAAGGTTTGTTTGGATGCCCTAACTGTACATTTCATATCTTCACATGTTTGGATTTTGTTTAAATTGGCTAAAGACTATTTAGCTCAGTGATATCCTTTTCTGTTCCTAACCAGTATACACTAAACCCAAATAAGTCTTGGAATGCATTTAGTGTCTCAGCACACTTGGCTCTGTGTCAAAATGCCTTATTTCTTCAGCAATCTGAGGCTTCAATTCCTTTTTCCTTCTGTTCCCTGAGTCTTCTGTGTCTTGAGGTTTCTTGTATTTCCTAAACCTATGCATGTAGGGTCTCTGGGATTAGGAGGCAAAGGGCATGCTTTTTCCCAACAGATTCGGAGTCTGCTCTCAGTTACATTTGTGCATCCCTGTAGTGACTATAGTGGTGTCAAAGAAGCCAGTTTGAAAGGAAATTGAGGACCTAGTTCTCCATTTTATTTTATTTTTTTAAAGAACGCTGTGAAAACAAACACTAAAGAACATTAAGGAGCTAGTCCTGCATTTCCTATAAATACTAATGTCAATGTGACTTTTGGGAGTACAGGACAGGTGCACTAATGCATTTATTTACTGGAAGTTAGATTTTCTTCTGAATCTTCTAATTTATTCATGCCTCTTAGTTATTCTGATTCACATATATCTCTAAAACTGAATTTTACATCTGCACAAAAAAAAGTGTATACAATCCAGCAGTCCTTCTATAGAAAGTTTCCCTCGTGATTTTTTTAAAGCAGTTCCCTTTCTTCTTAGGGTCCTTTTATTTTTCCAGACTTCAAGGTTCTCAATGATGGGGAAAAAAGGGGGGAAATTAATTAAAATAATACTGATAGGCCATGGTGCTGCCAATATCCTGCAATGCATATTAACACTTTAAGGCAACAGTCATAAATACCCTAATGCTAATTAGTAAATGAGTAGTAAACCGCTGTTGTCAAATAACTTATTATCATTATCTTCATCACAGAAAATCCCAAAGGGATAAGGCCTCTTTGCAGTCCAAATGCCACCCGGAACAATCTCTGCCTTGGTAGTCTGGCTATGTTTATGTCAGTTATGTCTATCACTGGCAATCTTATCGCACCACCAAAGCTCGATCTCTGTAGTGGTATTCCTTGGTACATGATTCAGAATTTGTTGATCATCTGTTCTAATAATATGTCCATACCATGGAAGCTGCTGAAACTAGTGTTGATAGAGGTGGTTGCTGGGTTTGGCTTCAAATATCCTCATTTCTGTTCCTGTCATGACACTTGATCTGGAACAGCAGATGATGATGATGAGAATTGAAAATGTAAATCCAGTGTTCTTTGGCCTTCCTCGGGACCCATGTTTTACTGCCATACAACAGAGTTGGTATAATTGTGGTTCTATAGATCCCCAGCTTTTTGGCAAGACTCACCACTGAGGCCACTGAAGCATGCCTGAAACCTGGCAGCAGCTGTTGCTATATGGGTGTCCACACCTTTCAAGCAACTTCTAGCATGGTCTATGATGATGCCCAAATATTTGACAGTTGCCACCTGCTCAATGTCCCGTCCAGACAAGTAAATAGTGAATTGGCTGTATCTAGCACTGGAGGCTGTTCGATGGAAATAGTCAGGGACTTAGTTTTATCCAGATTGATAAGGTCCAAAGTGTGTTGCTTCTTGCCCGACTAGATCAGCCATCAGCTTCAGCAATTCACCAGACTGAGTCAACAACAGAGTGTCAACAGCATATTAGAGATCTCAAAGCAGAATGGTGTTCTGCTCAAAGCCACCGACAGCTGCCTCCTCAAGCTTACCAATCAACTAATTAATGCCAATATTGACCAACGATGGGGCAGAGTGCTGCTTTGCCAAACTCCCGAGGAGATAGGAAACCATGCCGTGAAACTGCCATTGACTCAAACACAGATTTCTATTCCATTCTGTCAATGACACTACCTTTCCAGATCCCACAAACTTCCTGGTTGCCTCATCAGATCCCCCAAACTTGCTCAATGCACTGAATCGAAGGCCTAATTGAAGTCTCTAAAAAGTGCTATGCATGGTTTATTAAATTCAGCAATATGGTAAATATATGGTCCTGACTCTTATGTGGTGCTCTGGCAGCATATATGGGCCCTAAAGAGGTAACTATTGGCTGGAGGTTAATGAGAGCATCATGTGCCTTGTCTCTCAAGCCAAAGAAACTTTACTAGAGCTCATTTCCCATTAACAAGGAGTTGTACACCTGAGGATATAAAAACCTCTACTCCTGTAATCACCTCTCCTTTCCTACGTTTCAGCTCTTTCATTATTTATTATATATATTACAGTATTGCCTAGAAGCCCCAGTCACAGAGCAGGACATCATTATGCTGGGCACTGTACAAACACTGAACAAAAAGGCAGTCCCTGCCCCAAAAGTTTACACTCTAAGTAAAAAATAAGAAAGAACAGATGGATACAGAAAGACTAATGGTGGAGTACACGGAAACAATGAGATAATATTGGACAGCATGATAGAGTATGCTCTGTCAGAACAGTCCTCTTTTTACATTTCAGCTAAAGGATGAACACAGTGTATCTTAATAACATGCTATGGCAAATCTTCAGTACTGACTCAGAAGGAAGAATGGCACCTTTGGAATAATAAAAAAAACCCAAACTTGCAGCATACTAATGTGTTTCTGAAAAAAAACAAAAAACCCTCCCATCTAAGTAGTGACCTAATTCAACAGTGGTTAAGTTTGTGTGGTCTAACAGTATTATAGGCACACTTAAGTACAGGTATTCTTATATGTGTAAGAGATCTTTTCTACTGCTTATGGCTACAACCATGTACCTTGTAAGGGATGTTTTAAGAGGTTAAAAGATAGGTTCTTAGATTAGAGAACCTATGTTGTTCACCATGCTTCATTTTGGAGAGGTTTGATACAATTTCAAGCACAACATGGACATTATAATAAAATGCACAAATTACTTGTGAGAAAATTTAAATACCCTGCTAAGATAAGATTCTTTAGAAAGGAAAGATGGGAACAGAAAATATCGAGTGGTATTAGGGAAACAAAATAATTTTGAATTCTTTATAGATGTGAGTGTGCCTAAAAATAAAATACCACAAAGGTCGCCTTCATCAGATCCATCAGGACAATCTCTTCTCCCATTACAGAGCTTCTCAGGCTGTAGGCAGATGGAGGTATCATTAGCACAAGGATATTTTGGTGGTCCACACATATAGCTCTCGCAATTATCCTCATCAGACTGATCGTCACAATCAATATCTCCATCACATAGCCACGCTTTGCTAATGCATCTCCCTTGGAGAAAAGAGACAAACACAAGAAATCAGACTGAAAATAAACATAGGAAAACCTATGGTAACATTACAGAGAAATCTATTGCTGTGTTACATTTTAGCATTAATGGTCTCTCTTTCTAAATTAACCGAAATGATCTAAACAAGCTCAGCTTTGTATTTTAAGTTATCTGCATCTAAATAGGCAGCCTTAATTTCTTGACCAATGTCAAACCTAATAGGTTCTATGTTCAATAAAACTGCATGCAGGCAACTATGCAACCTAAGTAAAATATACTGATTTACAGTTTTATAGGTTGCCCAAAATTGTTGCAATGTTTCTTCTCCTGCTTTCCTCCCCATTTTCTTTTCTCTCCATTCCCACCCACCCCTAGTAAAAGCAAGGTCCCAATCTGACACTGACAAACTAGTAGCTACCATGAACAAAAGTACTCTATTAATTATATACAATATGTTTCCATATAATGCCAAACCAGTAATCATACTTTACATTTTAGCCAATGATTTTAGTTTATTATCCATGTATTGTGTGATGTTATGATTAATTAACATGTCATGATATATATAATCATTGTATGTTAAATAGAGTTAAATTGTAGGATTATAGAAGTATAAAATTGATCAGTATTTAGATTGCTAATTTATTAGATATCTAAGTCAGAAAGGCTGAAACACAAGACCTGTAGGTTGAGGCCTTCCAGATTCTAGCTTACCTAATTTAGGCTTTGGAGATAAGAAATGCTGACATAAGTTAGTGACCAAATAATAACCCAATGCCCTAAGATTATGGGAAAAGTGGTACCAAATGGTAATATTGTGAAAAATTAGCTGGAAGATTAATTTTAAATAATAAAAATGCTGTAGAGGTACATCTGTTTCCAACATGTGCCTTAACACAGGATACAAGTTGTGCGTCAATGCTAATGAGAATAAAGAGAACCTATACAACCTATAGCATTTGGGATCCCTTACATTTCTAGGGGACACAGACCAATAAGGGAAAAAAGAGGTTTGATACTTCCATGTGAAGAACATAGATATAGACAGAATCACATTATAAAAAAGGGGGTGTCCAAAGCAGGAAAATTGAGCTTCCTATGGGCGAACTCCAGCAGGAACCATCCCTGTACTGATGGTCAATCCACAAGAGAACCACCAGACTCTAACACTATCTAGGAGGATGAGAATATCTCTGTAGCTGTAACTGGATGGATATATCAAGGAGTTGTATATGCTGTGACATTCATAACTTTGTTGGTAACTGTAATAAAAATGATAAAAGATAGTAAACCTTGTTCTCATGATTGTATGTTACTGGCCTATGGTTTCATGTGTTCCTATGAGCTCTAGATCTAAGGCAAGCAGAGAGAACTCTGCTGAACTTGAGACTATAGCTGCCCGAGCCGAACCCTCGATGGGGTAACATCACTGAAATTAACTTTAAATAAAAATAAAAGCTACAAAATGAAACATTTCTACCAGATGAAACACTTTCACAATGTTTTAAATAGGCAATGCCCAACTCATTTCCTGCATTGGAAATAACTATACAAGGAAAAATATTACTCCAGTTTATGCTACACCTCTATGTTAGAAATGTTACAGTTGCAGCATTGTCTACTGATAGAGATAGGGTTTGTAACCTCTCAGAAGTATATGGGTGTGGAAGTGGAGTCACTTGGGGTAAAAACCCATATCTATACAAATCCATCCCCAAACAGATTCCCCACAATTGTTCACACACACTGACAATTGCCATCAAGCTCTGATGCCACTGTCTCCAACTATTCATCAGCACATTTCAATCTCCTTTTAATGGTGTCTATGCTAGTTAGACAAGCATTAAAACTGGTAATGTGCTTTAGAATTTTAGTTCCTTATTGAGACAATGCCACCATCCCAGGTTCCTCCTTTCTGCCAGGAAACTCCTCTCCCTCTATCCCCACCACAGGACATGGATTAGTCATGCAGAGGGACTTGCAAAGGTGATGGGAGAGGGGAGCAGGTGCCTCCCACCTCTGGCCCCTACTATTTTAAATACATCTCATTATCAGTTTGTATTTTCAGATAAAATATTTTTTAACAGTCAAAAGTTTTAACGACATAAGTGTAACAGAGCACTGGTCTGCAAGGGCAGGCAGAACATCTGTTATAGGGACATAGCTCCTTTAAGGCTGCTCATTGTTGGGAGTTGTAGTCTTCAGAAAGGGCACATAATAGAAATGGGTCAACTGACTAAATATCATGGGATTACCTGTTGGAAGCTACATAAAGAAATACTCCTGGCTCAATCTCAAGAAGATAAGGCTTGAGACAATCTCCCTGGGGATGTAACAAGAGGCCCACTCAATAATCAGGAAAGGTTACCCAGAGAGAAGGTTATGTCCTCTCCTCCCAGTTTGCTGAAAACTAGAATGGCCTTTGATGGCTGGGATCAAATGTTTTGCTCATTTTAAATCCTTTTGTGATAATAAAGCTGGCCTTGGGTAAAGGACTTTGGATTGAACTGAAGTTTGGCCATTATTTTACCTTCCTTGGTGTTTTTCTGCTCATCAACTTACAGCACAGTACAGTATGAATGTATACCATACTGTTTATTAGGCAGAGGCAAACTACTTCAGATGATATAAGAACAAATTCATACTTTCACTTAAAAATTGGATTATACTAAATCTGATATTTCTTGAGGTTTGAAAATAATTGAGCTCATGTTTTTTCTCTGATCTTCCGGGTTTTTGCCAAGACCACAACCATAAATAGTGAAATACAATGAGAGTTAGTTTTATGATTAAGGCACCAGACTGGGATTCAGGAGTTCTGGCTTCAATTTCCAGCTCTGCTACAGACTTCCTGGGTGACCTTGTGCAAATGGTAAAAGTCCACCATTTAAATGTTATGAAACTACACATAAAGCACTCATGAACATCCTATAGTAAATAGGAATAACCCCAAAATATTAAAATACCTATACATTTAAGCAATTTAACATTTACGCTTACCAATCCTGAATTACACATAAAAGAGCATGGCAAAAGGTACATGATCAAGGTGATATTTCACTGTGGGGTAACAGTATAGAGTACAAAGAATTAGGAGTTGGATCTTGAAGATGCTGAGCACTTTTGAAAGGTGCTGAACACCTCCAATTCCTATTGATGTTAATGGAAGTTCAGGGTGCTGAGCACCTCATAGCAATGCTCAGCATCTTCTAAGATGGAGGCCAAAGCACAGCCATCATTCCACTGACAATAAAGGGAGCTGTAATCCTTATTCCTTCCAAACTGAAAAAAATGAACAACTTTGTTTCTACCTACTCACTTACAGTTACACAAGTAAATAATAAATAAGATAGAGCAACCAGGAAACATAGTTGTATGCATAAACTTAAATACGTACATTCAATCAAAAGTGCTTCTAGAGAACTTCCATCTTCATCTTTACCTTGAAAAGAACACTGGAATTTAAATACCACCACAAAGACAGCAGCAGCAAAGAAAATAATGGAAAATGTTTGTGCTATGAAAATTGGCCATATCCCAAAGTAAATTGATGTTGATTCCAGTACAGCCTCTAACCTCTACTTCAATCTGTTTTATAGATACAACCGCTTACAGAACAAATCTGTTTACTTGACTTCTTTTCATGTTAATGAAAAGAAGATATATTCTATAACACAGGATTCCTCTTCAACTGTGATAGGTCTGACATATCTTATTAAATAAAAGAATATACTTATGTGAACAAATTAATTTTGTCCAGATTTAAATGAGGCACATAATGAAGTATTTATGCCTATATTGATATCATTATTTCAAATTATTGCCCTTGCATGAGACATACATTTTTTTATTTTCCAGACACCTTTTCTAGTATAAGAGCTGCATCAATTTATATGCATATATCTATTGTTTTCCATCTCTCTTATACACATGAAGATAGATGTATTGTCTGTAATGTACTCAGTAAAAAGCTCTCAAATAATAGGCATAGGTATGTGGGAAAGCTTGATCCAAATGCATTCTCTAGTGGTTTTGATTGTCTATGAGAATTAGCAATTCTAAACAGAAACTTAACATTTACATACTGTTCAGTCTATCAGGATGGGGAGCATAGGAAGCCTTTGGTTGTATTGTCTACTGAACTGCAAGACTAGAAGAAAACTGTCATATCTAAAACACTGGTGTCTTCCCATTCTGCACTGGAGGTTCCCATTGAAATTAGGAAGTGTTTTCTCCCCCAGCTTCTTCAGGAGCAGGCTTTAATCAATGACTGCACTGGGTGATCTTCTTTGTTTGTTTCAATACAGTCATTTTAAGCTACTTCATTTCAAGGAGGGTGGGAGGAGAAAGCAATATTGTTATTTAAAGGTTTTCCCAAAAGTAATAATTTGTTTACAGACATCAAGTGTGCGTCTTGGCTATTAGAGCAGGAGAGTCCATTTCAATTCCCAAATGGGATAACTATTATTGCAGATCGCAGAAAGAACAATGTGTTCTATATCACCATCTAAAAGATTGTGCCCCAGTCTGACTGGGGTGTTTGGATGCTTGTACTACTGTAGTATAAATAATAATTACACACAAAAATATTTATTAAAAATGTTATGGTTGAGAAGTTAGGAAATGCCAGAATGAAGGTTGCCTGGTCAACTTTACTTCAGCCTCATTTACTCACATCATCACATACTATTTTTCTCCCCAATGTTTCAAGTTGGGTACTCAAAGGAAATCACCATTAAGAGCCAGCAGCACTTGACTTTGTAATGTTGACATTTTTTTAACTTAAAAAAAAAAGCCAACAGAAAAAAAATGGTGTGAAACCATATTGAGACGCACATGGGTCATTACCAGGTTGGGTATCTTTAGGCCATCTGCACAGACCTCTGCCACTTAAGCTAACAGAGTAACTGGTAGCAGTAGTAGGCTGTTATTCTCTATGTGGATCAGCCACTAGAAAGGGATGAGACACACTCTTTGGAAGTGAATTTCCTAGATATTTACTAACTCTCAGAGGAACATTGAAATTCAGCAACTTAGGGCTCAATTCCCGGTTCTGGAAAGGATTGCTCTAGTGGTCACAGACCTCTGACCCCATCCCTCCAACCTGTCCTTGTCCCAGTAGTAGCCTTTTCCCAACTCTCATCCCTGATTCCTCACCCCAGTATTCTCCCCACCCCAGCCTAGCACTGTCCTAGGCCCAGTCTCCTTGCCAGTGTCTTCCTTCAGGCTCCAACCTCAGTTCCCACATTACCAGTCTCCTCTCTACCTCTGAAGCTCCTTACCCAGCCAGTCCAGTTTCCCAGCTGTCCCCATTTCTACCTCCCAGTGCCAGTATCTTTCCCCAGGCAGTTCCTGTCTCACCCTCTGAAGTACCTGTCCCAACCTATTTTCTCTGCTGCCCCTTCCTCCCCACCTCCAGCTCTTGTCTCCTCTGCATTCTGATCAGGATGCTTCCGCTCTCTCTCACTCTCCTCATATTATATATAATGGCATCAAGAGCGACAGTGTTCCTGCTATCAGTTCATGGGCCAGACACTACAGCATTTGGGAGAAGCTATTGAAGGGAAAGTCCTGCTCAGCCCCTGAGGTACAACATGCCTTGTACAAACAATAGATAGTTTGGATGAATTTCAACAAGGAAAGCAAAAGGCATGATGATAAATGAAAGACTAGTAAAGCTTACATTTGAAATAAATGGATGACCTGTGAAAGTTTGGGAAATATATGACCCCAAAGTGATTTTTTTAAGTTTAGAGGTCTACAAGGTGATTAACTAAGGAGAAAACTGAAGGGGAAAAACCCAAAGAAAACAATAGCACTTCTAAATGGGATATTTGTGTTTTAAGACTACTGAACGTTTTTTTTAAAAGGGTATATAACTGCATGACCAGTAACAACAGGCCTTATCCTGTTCCCAAAGTCAATGTCAAAAACCCCTTACGATCATTGGCAGCAGGATTGAAACCAACACTCTGAAACAGTTACATATGTTAAGTGAGAGCATTCAAATGTCATGATTCATAATGTAAACTGCTCAGATCCCACCCTGGGTACAACACTATACAAATGGCTAAATGCATAAGGTGGGATGACAAATGTTGCACTGAGGAAATTACACACTATTAGAGACAGGAACTGGATTTGATGGACCAGTGATCTGATCTGGCATGGCATGTCTTATGCTTCCTCTATTAGTACAGTAACTCCTCGCTTAACGTTGTAGTTATGTTCCTGAAAAATGCGACTTCAAGTGAAATAATGTTAAGCAAATCCAATTTCACTATAAGAATTAATGTATATATGGGGGGTTAGGTTCCCGGGAATTTTTTTTTTCACCAGACAAAAGATTATATTATATATATGTATACACAATATAAGTTTTAAATAAACAATTTAATACTGTACACAGCAATGATGATTGTGAAGCTTGGTTGAGGTGGCGGAGTCAGCAGGTGGCATATTTCCCAGGGAATGCCTTCCTGCTAAATGATGAACTAGAACTTGACTGAGCCCTCAAGGGTTAACATATTGTTGTTAATGTAGCCTCGTACTCTACAAAGCAGCATGAATGGAGGGAGGGGAGACAGCATGGCAGACAGAAACAGAGACACACATCCTGTGTGTGTGAGAAAGAGACACGCGCATTGCTCCTTTAAGTATGCTGAACCACTCTAAGTAGATTGCCTTTTTAAGTAGGCCAGGAAGTTGAGACAGCAGCTGCTGCCAGCACGCTCCCTCCATCCTGAGCCCTGTCATTTCCCTCCCCCCCCTCGCCCCGCCGCTCTATGGAAATGAGGTAAGCAGGGGGCAGGAGCAGAGGGGAGGGGGACACCCTGATATTAGCCCCCGTCTTTTCCCCCCGCACACCCCCTCACAGCAAGCAGGAGACTCCCAGAAGCAGCTCCAAGGCAGAGGGCAGGTGCAGCACATGCCAATGGGGGGGAGGTACAGCTGAACTGCTGGCAATTGATAGCCTGCTGGGCGGCTGCCGCACAGGAAACTTAGGGGAGCAGGGAGCTGATGAGGGGCTGCCGGTCCACCCTGGTTCCAAGCCCCCACAGCTAGCTGCAATGGGCTGCTCTTTCTGCAAGCAGTGGACAAAGCAGGCAGCTGCCAAACAACGTTATAAGACAGCACTGTGCAACTTTAAATGTGCCTATTCTCTAACTGATCAGCAACGTAACAATGAAACAACATTAACCTGGACGACTAAATGAGGAGTTACTGTATCTCCCTTTTTAACCTCATTTTGAGATGTAACAGCTAAAGTTTCCAATAACAAATAACAGTTTTTATTTATTTCACATAGTTGTATTCCTTATTAGTCACTAAGAGCAACATTTTAATTATTTTGTTGAGATGACATACTGGTAATTAACTTTTTTTTAAATACATTTAAGATCTGATTTCTGTACATAGTTCAAAAAGCCAAATGGTGGTAAATTTGAACACATTTCAAAGAAAACCTAAGAGGGATTACATATCAATCTGAATCTCTGCCCAACATTATGCTGCAGCTCCAGATTAAATATAATCCAGTATCTATACAACATTAAAAATGCTTTTGAATGGGATTGGATGTGAACAGACTATTACACTACCCCTATTCAGATGTTACAAATATCTTAAAGACTGGATATTAAAATGCTAAGTAAAATATCTATTTGCTAACTATCTCTGGGTTTATCATTTGCTTTAAAGATATATTGTATTCCCAAATTAAGAAAACTTGTAATAGCAGCTTTGAAATGGATTCCATAAAGATAGATACAATGATGATTTACTTCTTTAATTGAACTATTCCTGAGAAAAATGCTCTATGTCAGGTTTTGTTTTGTTTCAAAGTATCTTTAAACATTAGATAAATGACAAACATGCTTTAACAATTCAGCTACATTATTGCTTAAATAAATTTATATAATCATAAATTATACCTCCGAGGTAGCAAAAAGATGTGCAAAATTTATTGTAAGGGCTCTATAAATTGTAAATCAACATGTTTTAATAGCATGCTTTAATGGTTATATTTACCAATGAGGCTGCATCTTTCTTTAGAAAATAACTGAAATTCAAATAGAAAAGTTTATTTAAATCATGATTTAAAATTGTCTTGATTTAAATCAATCCACCCTGATTTTAATATGTTTTCCTTACATGCTATAGTTTCAATTCTGTGTCACTGTCAATCTATTTTCCTTATTCTATTTTACAAAATTTGCATGTAGTTAGATGGGAAATGCAAGCAAAAGCATGGACTGTGAACTAGAATTACATTTAACTTTTTACTCTGATGCACACACACACCAAATTCATCTGTTTAATACACTTGCTGCTTATGTAATTTTGAAAGCCATTAATTTTATACCATGACTAAAAATAAGCCAAAGAAAGCATATCAGTGCTTTCTCCTGGCAAGCATCAGCTCTGCACTACTAGACAAAAAGTATGTACTGTATTATTATTTGTAGTATTTTAGAGCTAATGGAAGAGTCATACCTCAAACACCCTTCTAAATTCCCTAGTGGATATCCATTATTGGAATCAAGCTACTTAGGAAGCTCTTACTTCCCTGAGGCAAATCTTTGGAGGTTCCCCCAGCACTATGAATAATCCACTTAAATTGGCTGAACTGCCTCTTTATTGTTGCTTGTTTGAAGACTTTACAGCCACATTAGTATGATTACTAATTTCACAGTAAAACACCTATTTATGGAGTTTATAATTTGGTCAGAAGTAGTAGTTCCAGGATAAAATAATTTAAATTACTGTATGTGGTATTATGTCACATAGAAAAAATGTGAAGAAATGTAGCACCTTTTCTGTCAAATACAAACCATGACTGTATTGTCCCCTCTCCTGCCTAAAGCTTACTTCCCCCCTAAAATCCTTCCCCCCATGAGATCTTTTTGAACCCCTGCTTTATCATCTCTGTCTCACTGTCCTGTTTGGGAATTTTCCACTCTCCACTTCACCAGCCCTGTGCACAGTCACACAGGTTTTCTAACTCTGGAAGCATCCTGAGCATACCTATTGTACAGTCAGAGCAGAACTGTTAAATTTAATGACCTTTCATTATCCCTAGACTGATGGTTACTGTGCTAAAGGCAATGTTAGCAAATGGTGAATTCCAAATTCACAGAGACATTCAAACTATACAGTATTTTATAATAACTTCATACACATCATCTAGAATTCATAAATTGTACAGACTCCCAAATCAGAGTTACATCATACCCACAGATTAAAAGATGTAAAGTCACTGTGAATTACTGTATAACTTTTGTTATTGTTTGAAATGCCTTCTTGTAAAACGGAAGTGCCTGCCAGCAATGGGCTCAAATACCACTTACAGCCTTGTCTGCTTTCAGCATTTTATTTAACATGCTTAATTGTGGCCAGCAGGCATGTTTAAGACATGTTGCATCTCCCAACACCCCATGGCCATGTAGTTTCCACAGTGTTTTCTTGCTCACAGCATTTTAATCTTTTATTTAGAGCATTTAATTGGCAGCAACAGAAGTAATAAAATATCTCAATTAAGCTATTTCAATAGAATGTTAACATTTCAAAACAGACAGTGCTGTGGGAAAAGATACCGAAACCTATAATCAGGTTCTTTGAGTGGAATGGCGGACTGTATTATTCCCAGTCCTCCATTTCCAACATAACCAAACAGTTCTGTGACTAATAATAAGCATATACTCCACTTAATCATAGCCTATTCTTCTCTGCCAATTCAGTCAATATATCTGAGATCAGTCCCCAGAAACCACAGTTAAAACAGACTAGCAGATTTAGTAACCAAAAACAAAAAATCATCCTCTGGAACAGTAACACAGATAGTTCAGGATTAAGGATCTGCTAAAAAAGAATGAAAATGCTAGGCGCAGTGCTGAGTAATGCAAAGTATGCAGGCACATCAGCCCCCCACAGGAGCAGGGCCGGCTCCAGGCACCAGCTTACCAAGCAGGTGCTTGGGGCAGCCACTTCGGAGAGGGGCGGCATGTGCAGCTATTCGGCGGCAATTCGGCGGACGGTCCCTCACTCCCGCTCGGAGTGAAGGACCTCCCGCTGAATTGCCGCCGCAGATCCAGAGGGGGCGCGCGGCTTTTTTTTTTTCTTTTTTTTTTTGGCTGCTTGGGGCGGCCAAAACCCTGGAGCCGGCCCTGCACAGGAGCACATCCTACCTCTGAGATACCCCTTAAGATTCCTCTGTTGCTCCTGGTTGGGCTGAGGGCAGTAGGTTACTATAGCCCCTAACAGGATGAAGTAATAATTCTTCCTGAGTGACCAGCCAGCAACGCTGCATGGAACAAGGAGAGTGATGAATGTGTGAGCCACTGCTCTGACCCTCCGCACCCAGTTCCTTAGAAGGAAGAGCATCTTAGGCACAGTCCCATCTTTCTCCACAGTGCCCAAAGTCATTATCTAGGCAGCACTAATGGAGCCATGCAGGGAAGTGTGTTGAGGCCTTTAACAGAACTACTCACATACTTAAGCAATTGAATGTCTCTGCAGGATTGACGCTTTTCTGTGTACGTTGTAGCCCTTTCGCTAGCCCTTCACCATTTAGTTTTGTTTGTTGATTTTAGTTTTGTTGGTTTGAACTTCTTAAATTGTAACTTCTTCAGAATAGGGACGGTGTATTCCTACTATATATGTCCGTATAGCATGTAGCACATTGTGGACACTACTGTCGTACAAATAATAAAGTTTTATTTTAAATGGCCTTGAGAAAGACAAACAATTGAATCGGAGCAAACAATAATAATGTACCTGTATTCTTGCAGGAAAACTTGGTTCTCTCATCACACAAGCGTATAGTTCCATTACAGCCCTTTTCATCGCTGCCATCTTCACAATCCTTTTCTCCATCACAGCGCCACAACACAGGAACACAATTCCCATCAGGGTTACACTGAAATTCTTTCTCATTGCATCCTCCAGGAGAGGGAGTTTCTTAGATAAAATAATCAAGAGACAAGATTAACTATATCGAATAGCTTGTTCACAATGTTTGTTTTTTTCTACCACCAGGTATATATGAAGAAACTAGTTTATATAAACAGAGCAGTACAGCTGTCTCATTTGCTCAGTTAAATTTGGCAATTTGTGCAGAATAACAGGAACAGCCAGTGTTGTTGTTTTTTAACTGAAACAAACATCTCCTCTATCACACCATATACCTAAAGAAAAAGTTACACCTATTGTCAGAGAAATACAGAGTGCATATATAGCCAGCAATTTAATTAAAACAAATAAAGTTACTGAGTCTGTGAAATATGTTATGAGCATGGACCACAAGTTTGTAAAATGAGTCTGTAGGGACCATGAGCTTTAGGGCTTTGGTTGATCCTTTTATTTCTAAACTGTTTCATCGCACAGTAAATGGTTAGGGAAATCAGCTCTACAGTAATCAGGGGAATGAAGGCCAAGATATCCAGATGCATCTAGTGATTCTGGGTGACTTATTTTTTGGACACCCAATACCAGAGGCTCCCAAAATATCACTACTCACTTTTGAAAATCTTGGCTGAAACATTGAAAAGAAATATGGAAATTGTTCAATTAGAGAAAGTTTACAATATGGAACCCTGAATTCAGAGCCCAAGAAGAGGACACATTTAAGTACATTTAAATGTAATAAGAAAGTTTGCAGGCATTTATTTTCAATTGGTTTTCAGGAGGAACGGGCCAGATCTCTGGTCATAGTTAAGTCCCCTGTGCACAGCTAGAGCTGCCCAAAGGGGATTTAAAGCTGCTTTAATGAGAAAGATGAGGATTCTTCTGCAGCTCAGTGAAATCCTCTGCTTGCAAGCTGATATATCTAGTTTTATACACTCACTTTTAATCTTGCATTGGCCTAGTAGATGTTCTGCTAGAAACAGCATTGAAAAACAATGTGATCTGACATCGCTGGACAAGCAGAATGGTCCCTGGGCGATGCTTACAGTTGGCACAAGTTAGAACAGCCATGCAACTGCTCTAATATGCACCATGGGCCAGTTCAGCCCTCAGCTGCCTCCAAAGATTTTGAAGGTACAAAAGGTGACAGTTATCTTGGCCTTTCCCCACTCAGCTATGCTGAACATGAGCTCTGTACAGTTGAGGATTCAGACCTATATGTATTGAAGCACAGTAATTATGTGATAAGACTTCATTTGGATTAGCCACATGCTTAACATTAAGCATATGTGTGTTTCCAAGACTGGAGCCTTATTTTACATTTTTGGATTCCTCACCTGTACTCTGCTAACCTAATCATCACCACCGAGATTATTTATAGTATTCCAAACCTCTGAACCGTATTAAGGCATATTTTAAAGTCATGTCTTGAAAAGTCCTGCATTCGCGATTTACACTGAAAAGTATAATTTGAACATTTTTTACCAGCATTTGTCCACAGCCACAGTCAATTTTATAAAACATTTATTTTCCTTGTTTGGGTGACAGTAAAAGTCCTGGACTTCTTTGTAATATAGGAAGTTATCTTTTTGATTAATCTCTTTCTTTGCAGTCTCTCTGTCCTACATAGGGTAACCAGATAGCAAGGGTGAAAAATTGGGACAGGGGGTGGGGGGTCATTGGCACCTACATAAAACATAGCCCCAAATATCGCGACTGTCCCTATAAAATCGAGACATCTGGTCACCCAAGTCCTACAACTCATGAGGAATATGCTGCAGTGAAACAACTTGTTCATTTTGTTTAAACAGTGAAGAAACTTCAAGGCTGCCTAAGGATGTTCTACCAATAATAAATAATAATAATAAATTAATAATTAATAATAATATAAACTCTGCTGTTGCAGGGTCCTGCCAACTAAATTGCTCCCAGGTGACTTTGAAGTTTTATACTGTTATTCTGTGATGTTACTTTGAGGCACTTTCAGGCTGCCCTCACTCAAAGCAGTGGTATCATAGAGCTTCAAAGTAATGTCGGAGCAATGGTTGGGGGTTCATAGCAAAGTGCCAGGAGCACAACTCACAATCAGTCTGCAACACTGCACTGTCTTTAGGCACAAACCAGCATACTGGGAGCTCCTCTTTGCAGTCCCGAGACAAAAGCCAATGCCAACACATTTGAAAAAGTTATACGAGTAGTTTCCATGTTACATAATATTAAGATTCTCCACAAAGTAAAGGTTTAGTTAAAAAAATAATTCTCTATATTGTTGTGAGTTAAGAACAAAGCAGCAGTATTACATTAAAACTTCTGGATTTCTCATTTGTGTCACTTTTTTTTTTTTTTTTTAAAGATATAGGAACCCCAACCAGCCTATTGAAACTCTCACATAACGTGGGGCTCTCTGCATTCAGATCTAACGTACTCTGGGTACAAGGAAGAGTTAGCTTTCTTCCCATTCCTGGGACCCCAGAAAGGCTATCCACAATGTCTCATTCACATAGAAAGAAGAGATAAAAGACTGTTCACTCCAGGCCAAGAAGGTGGGTGGATCCAGAGGAGAAGACATCTTTATCTCCAGTGATAGCTATTCTATGATTTTATCACAAGTCTTTCAATACTTATTTTTCTTTTTTAAACAGGCCTCATGAATTTCTGATTTCTGCATTCAAACTCATGAAGTTTTACCTTATCCAAAATGGCCACCATCTCCCATTACTGTCAATAGGACTGAAGCCACAGGCTCCCCTCAGCAAGATGGTCACCATGTGATTTTAATCTTTGTAGATGAAAATGAGGCTGCCCGCTGCAAAGAGGGACACCATGTCCATTATTTCAAATGGGGCTGAAAACAATCCACCCTCTGGGAACATGATGACTCCTTAGGGTCACCTACAACCTGGATCGACCTCTTACCAGCCAGTCATCCAGGTAAGGGAATACATGGACTCAAGATAGCAGTCTGCTTTGGACATAACTACGAGTTACAAAGGGATCTCACTAAACTGGGTGACTGGGCAACAAAATGGCAGATGAAATTCAATGTTGATAAATGCAAAGCAATGCACATTGGAAGACATAATCCCCACTATAAAGACAAAATGATGGGATCTAAATAAGATTGATCTTGGTGTTATTGTGGATAGTTCACTGAAAACATCTACTCAGTGTGCAGCAGCAGTCAAAAAAACTAACAGAATGTTAGGAACCCTTAGGAAAGAGAGATAATAAGCCCTTACAAATCACATTTTTCTCGCTCACTTAAGGGAGGTGGGATGAGGGTCACTATTAGGCAATGCCCTACCATATGAATAGCAGTGCTTGAAATCTGTAGAGCATAGCATATCTCTGGAACTGAGGCCAGTAACCAGACCGGGGGCCAGAACCACAGACACACAATTTGTTGTTTTGACTAACCAACTAACTAAATGCACAAAACGGGTACTATTTACAGTTTTGATAAAGACTTGCAGAAGCAAGAACAGGGAGCTCCAACAATTATCATGGCAGTAGGAAAGAACTGAGCAGGGTTGAGAGGCAGCTTGGCCCTTTATGTCTGCACATGATGTGTGGGGCAACAGATGGTGAGGAGGAGATGTTAGTCTATGGTGTAGCTTCCTCATCAGCCCTTTTCTCCTGTTCCTTGAAAGATTCATCCTCAGATGGAGAGTGACTTGGAAGTCAGGAAGAGCAAGTGATTGCTGCCCCCTGGCACGCCCCATGAGTGTAGCTGAGTGCTCTGGAGAATTATTGCTGATAAGTAACCCAGAGGTCCCAATATGGCCATTCAGGAGGGGCCCATAAAGAATAACAGGAGGGGACCCAAGACTGGTCATATCAGGAAGAATGTGCAGTGACTTGAGTCTGCCTGTGCCTTGAGCTACTCTCTCAGAGAACGTGTCAGGAGAGGTAGCTCTGGCTTGGTAATTAAGCAAGCTTTGAACAGAAACATAAGAATCAGAGGAGTTATCTTCATAGTCCAAGGGAGAGGCAGACAGACATGGTGTTGAATCAAGTTGTTTGTCCTTTCTAAGAGGTACCAGGGAGCTAGTTGGCACTGGTGAATGCCGCATTACCAGTGACAGATGAAGCTCCATCACCAAGATTCTTTCCACATCTGTTAGCAGAGGGGATTTGGGTTCATCTGAGACAAACAAGTCTCTGGAGAATTTAAATTCCTGTGGTACCTGGCTAAGCTGTGCAGGAACAGGGCAGTGAGAAGTGGTGGTACCAAGACTGACCTTGGATTCATTGGCACCAGTCAGTTTGTGGTGTCAGCTTGGGTACTGCAGATAGAATGGCAGAAACCACATATGGTACCAGCTTCTTCGATACAGAGTTATTAGCGTAATGTGATTGGATGATACAAGAGGGTGGCTTCAGTACTGAGCAATGCTGGATACCATGGGACTTTTAAGTACCTGATGCCTTAGTTGAGGAGGGGCTTTCAATGTCAGGAGAGCTTGGAGCCTCAATAATACCTTTTCTGAGATGTGAGGTTTCTGTAACAGCAGGTCTCTGAGGTGACTTTAGCTTATTGGCACTGATTTCTCTTTGAGAGGATCTGAAAATCTTCTTTCTAGAAGCCTTGGTGCTATTCCCCATGGTTCTGTCCCACGTAGGTCTACTGAGTGAGTGGTCTGCAGAGGTCAATAGGGCACTGTGGTCACTGGAATACCACTGCACGGGGGGAGGGGAGGGGACGGGTATCTGGGCCTGGGTCTGAGGAAGGTTGAAGGGAGCACTCCATCATGAGAAGCCTAAGCTTTATCTCCATGTTCTTTCTAGGCCTACTTTAAAACCTGAATAAATTTTATCCTTAGATGGGACATGGATACCTAAGTAGCAGATACAGTGAGAGTAGCTTTCACTAAGTAGGATAGGATCCCGGCAAATGAGGCAGCATCTAAATCTAGAGTATTTAGGCATAATCCAAGGATAGACCCCCTGAAAAAGAAGACACCCCAGAGAGGAGAGGATGCAGAGTGTGTGTGTGGGTGGGTGGGGGGGAAGAACAGGAGTCTCCCAAAGAAATATGCCTCCCAAAAATAACCTTACTAGAACTACTAAAATTAGTAAGAGCTAAAAGGCTAACTAAAAACCTAACAATAACAATCATGAAACTAATAAAGCTATTCTCTACAGGTAAATAAGGTAAAAAGCAGGCACTACAAGATGCTCCATCTCAGCCTGGGGCAGTTGAGGACCACCTGGGGGCAGTTCATGTGTCTCTGTGCTATATACAGGGTGCAAGGATAGCTAAGGTCAGGTGAGGACTGAATGGGCACTGATACACAAAGCCTCCAATCAAAGGCACATGCAGCACATGTGCACCTGAAGTGGCGTACCATAAGTATATTACTTTAAGAAATACAAGTTCCTTTTTAATAATTCACAGTGTTTTGATCATTAAATATTGTTTTAATAAAGATGAAGGAAACAGGTTAAAAGCAGCTGAATAATTTTCTGTTTTAATTTTAAGAAGACGTCATGATGCACAGCATTAAAAATTTCCACAACCGTATAAAGGAATTTTCCAAAACAGAAATACATTTTACTCTCCATTAAAAAATTACATGTATTATAGGAGTGGGGAATAAACTTGACTACAACTATTTACAGTTTTTGTTTACAAAGCACATGGAAGCATACTGAGTGCATCCACAGGCATGCTCAAGCCTTTCTGATTTTTCCCATTAAACCTAAGGGCAGAATGTGTTCACAGTTCCACAAGGTTCTTACCACTAACTAAAAATTGTAAACATCCTTCATAGCTTTGCTCTGAACTAGACTTAGAAAGATCAAATGTATGACATGAGTACAAACAGGAAAACTAAATTAAAGTTAATGTTATGTCAAAAATAATAAAGCCTCATTGCTGAGGCTTAATTCCATGATTTGAACCCAACTGATGTGCAAATAAAATTATTCAAAATTCATTTAAGCGGATGATACAAAATGACAGGGCTATAACAGCAGAATATATCCAGGTTTTCATTCCTCAGTTTAGCTAAGAAAAACATAGTAGAATTATAAATTGGGGACTTTTTTAGTGCAACATTTATCATCGCTTTCTTTAAAAACTTGGTTCAGGGTTTCTAGTGGAACATACATATTCTGTTGAGTTTCTTTTTTATTGAGTAATATGGCTTTTATATCTAAAATATTATGTTTGGCTTACCTTATATTCCCCTATATATGGGCAACAGGATAAAAACATAGTGATAGCTCCCATTTTAACTACTGTAGGTAGAGTGGGCACCATATAAAAGTCAACTTTACAATTCAGCTATATTTTACTTTATTGTAAAATTATTCAGTCTATAGAAAATATTGCAAATACCACATAGTTTAATTACAATGGCACAATAAAGATAATTTTTTTGTGATATCCTTTGTATCTGAGATCAAATATGTTTCTACAGTATTTTAACTATATTTCCCTGGTTTTATACATTTGGAGGTTTCAGAGTAGTTTGTGATTGGAGAATTAAATCTTAGTACGTAATCAAATTATTTTGGAAACTTGCTACATCACAAATCGCAGCAGAAGGCCAATATTGTCAGTAATGACATCATAATGGAAGCTTTCCTTTAATTTCTATTGAAAAATTAAGAAATTCACCACATGTGCTCATATTGTTAAATTGTCACACGAGGCAGTAGATGTTGCCTTTTTAGTAAAACAAACAGTAGGAACAAAAGAATGACTACCGTAAATTGGAGATCAGATATGTTTTCATTGTAAAGCACAATTAAGTTTTTTTGTTTGGTTGACTGGTTTTGAATAAGAAATAAATACTGAGTACAAGAAATTTTAGGGATTATTCTTTGGTAAAATGTAAATAATTATAGGACATTCTATTATTTTAATATTATATTGAGCTAAACAGTTGTGCAAAAATACTCGCAGATATTAAAGTGGTAACTTAAGCAATGTTGCCTTGCCTACTGTATCTTGATCCAGGAAACATTTATCTCTATTAAAAGGACAAGAATCATGTTCAGTGTAATTCAGTGAAGTAAAAATCGACATTGTGCTGGATTTGTTTCAGCAGAGACTGCTCTAGCTATAGGCAAACTAGACAGCCGCCTAGGGAAGCACATTTGGTCTTGCCATTCCCCAGGGAGAAGGTAGGTTTTTGTTTGTTTAATTGATTGGCACTATTTTTCTCTCTCCTGTTACTTGTAAAGGATAATTGAGAAAGAGAGAGTATCACCCGCTCCTAGAGTTCGGTTTTACTAGTAACTCAAAAACAAAAACATTACAAAATCTTCAGCCTGCCTGTCCCTAAGATTTGTCCTTTGAGCTATCCAGGACTTAACTCCCTACCCGCTTTATATCCTGTGTAAATCACCACTTTAAGAGGGTATCAGATCTTAAATATCTGTTTTCTGCCACCAACGATTTAAATCACTTTCACTTTTCCAATGGATGAGAAAGTTCACTATTCATTTAGACCAAATCTTTATCACAGTATTAAAATAGCCAACCTTCTTTGGTGCAGTTTGTTTTGGTTTCATCACTGAAGTCTCCACAGTCATTGTCACCATCACAAGCCCAGTGACTTGGTATACATCTGCCATTGGAGCATCTGAACTGGTTACTGGAGCATGAGTGAACACAACCCAACTCATCACTCCTGTCGCCACAGTCGTCATCTGTGAACATTCAGAATCAACATGAGAAAAAAAAAGCCAGACCAACTTTAAACGGTACAAAATCTGAACAGAAGCCTGACTCTCATGAGAAACGTTAATAAATGGAGGCAACAATGCTTGCATTTACTGTTTTCATATCTACAGTGTTCTTGAGAAGAAAACAGAGAAGTGATAGCCAGTAAGTTAAAGTTCTATATATTGCTTTCTCTGCTGGATCATACCAGAACTACTTATGTCACTATGAGCAATTCCTTGTCCTGCCTTAGCTATGGGAGCTGGCCCTTTTGTGCAATTGGGTGTAAAGACTTGTGTTTTGGTAAACACAAGTCCTTAGTTTTATTCCCAACAAAATCATGCATTAGACTGATGAATGGGCTGCAGATAAACAGTTTCAGATAACTTAAGGCCAAAATGAAAATCTAAAGTCAGAATTAGCCTTTTAAAATAACACAGGACAAAGGCTCTCATTACACATTTAGAAACAGATAACTGGAGAAAAAACACTAATTAATTATTAGTCAAAAGGGGGTCGGAGTGGGCTTCCTTATTTCTATACTGTATGATGATTCCTGTAATCTGTGATTGTGATTCCCAAGAAAGGGAAAGATAATGCATTAAACACTAAAGCTCACTTTGCACACTTGTTCAGCCAAACATACATTCCACTGATTATTTTATTTTATGGAAATGCTCTGATTCTTGGTCATTCTTATAACCAAATATTGTCTCATATTACATTCTATTCTAATATAATACAGTTGATTTGCAGTGATGTTCCAGGTTTAACTCTAAGAGCAATTCTTATCTCTGTTTTCTCCCAGGTGTGTGGCCTCAATTTTACAACTTTTGATCTTAAATCAGTAAAATAAAGCCATTACATTTATTTTATGCAGGGCTACAAGCTGGATTTACTCTCAGTTCCAGTAGGAAATGAACATTTTTATCAAAAGTACACCCTAGCCCCCTAATTAAATCAGTTTAGAATACTGAACATTTGGTACTTGCCTGAGTCACAGTGCCATTTGCTGCTAACACATCTTCCATTTTTGCATATAAATTGAGTTAGTGGTTCACAGGTTGGGAATTCTGTGAAGGATATGAAGGTATCCAACATGAAATGTGTTAATGACTATACCGGATTTAATTTGTATCCCATTTATTTGTGTCCCCTCCCTCATACATGCACAAAGACACAGAAGAATCATTAAATCACTTATTGAAGTAGCCATTGCTTCAGGAAGATAATTTCAACATCTTCTAAATGAGTGTCTCCTAGTTACTAGAAGGGAAGGTTAGTCATTTGCTGCTGAAGGACAATCAGTAAATGCTGTAGTGCTAGGAGAACAAACAGACACTAAGGAGTTTTACCAGCTCATCCACTTTCCTTTAAATGAACAACAGCTGGAAGCAGCAACATGCTCTGCTTCTCTAAAGTGTATGCAGATGTTTCAAAAGTGCTGTTCTCTCCATGAATACAGAGAAAAGTAGGAGTAAAAACATCCTCTCAGTACTTTTTTTTAAAAAAAGAAAGGACAATGAAATCTGATATGATTTACATAGTAGAGAAAATCTGAAAATACATCTTTCTGCAAAGATATGAGTTTTCTTGAATAAAGTTACAAAAATGCCATGCAATACCTGAAAACTAAATATGAAAATTACTCACTCTAATTCACTGATTTGGGTTTATTTGAGCAGTAGGTGCTACTCAGCATGAGTAAAGGCACCACAATGTAGCTATAAATTAAGTTACTAATTCAAAACCTCTATGAGGCAGAAGCCATATTGCACTACACTAACACATGCAAGCTTATATTCTGGTCACTTGTGCAAGAGGTTAAAAAAAAAGGGAGCAAAAAGGTGCAAAGGGCTCTTACACTGAGGGTCAGTTAGAATCAGGGTGCTTGTGCTTCCTGAGTGCTTGGGAGTCCCAGGTGCTGGAGGGTGGGAGCAAATGCTGCATTGGCAATTCTGAGGGACAGGAGCTATTCCTAGGCAAAACCCATTCCCTCCCCTGCCTTGCCCTCCCAGCCCCAGCACACAGAGGGCTTTCTGCCTGACTTAGCACTTTGCAGGCAGGATGATTCTAGCTAATGCTGAGATGCACAGAACCGGCACTCAACTCACTCACTTAAATTTACCGTGACGTTAAAGCTGTGTCTTGGTTCTTTCTAATGAAGTATCTCTGAAGTAAATTTAATTGTAAAGTTACACCCTACCCTGTCAAATGTATGCGTCATAATACTAATGATGAAATATAGTCTGAACTGTGAGAAATCATATTTTCAAAAGTTCACTTTTATCATAAAACATTTGATTGCAATGTAGCTGCTAGTAAAAAGCAGGAAATGAAACACTTGGAAAATATAGAAGTGATACAAAGGGACATGAAGACATTAGAATTACAAGTAGAAAATAAACTGCTTTGACAGTTACACATTGCAAGTCACCATTAAAGAGTGAATACTTACAAACAGTTCTCACATATATTCCAGTAAAACTATCAGGAAACTAAAACACTGGAATATGTATAGAGCTACAAAGTAAAGGCTCAGCCACACTACAACTCCAAGTCTATCCATGTTTTTCCAATACAGTAACTCCTCACTTAACGTTGTAGTTATGTTCCTGAAAAATGTGACTTCAAGCGAAACGATGTTAATATAAATGAGGGGGTTAGGTTCCAGGGAAATTTTTTTCACCAGACAAAAGACTATATATATATATATATATATATATATATATACACACACACATACACACACACACACACATATACACACACACACAAACACACACACAGTATACGTTTAAACAATGTAATACTGGTACACAGTGATGATGATTGTGAAGCTTGGTTGAGGTGGAGGAGTCAGAGGGTGGGGTATTTCATTTAATGCTAAATGATGAACTAGCAATTGGCTGAGCCCTCAAGGGTTAACTCTCTCTCTACACAAGGCAGCAGGAATGGAGGGAGATATGCACATTTCCCTTAAGTACACTGCCTTGTTCATTAGATCAGCTTGCTGAGATGGCAGCTGATGCAAGCTCCCTCCTTCTTGAGCCCCGGTGTGTCCCCCCTGCTCTATGGAAGATGGGGTAAGCTGGGTGCAGGAGCAGGAGGGAGGGGGACATCCTGACATTAACCCCCCTCTTGTCCCCCCCCCCCCCCAGCAAGCAGGAGTCTCGGGGAGCAGCTCTAAGGCAGAGGGCAGGAGCAGCACATGGCATGGGGAGGGACACAGCTGAACTGCAGGCAGCTGCTGCACAGGGAACTTAGGGGAGCGGGGAGCTGATACGGGGAGCTGATGAGGGGCTGCCGGTCCACCCTGGTTCCAAACCCCCACCAGCTAGCTGCAACGGGCTGCTCTTCCTGCAAGCAGTAGACAAAGCAGGCGGCTGCCAAAGGATGTTAGAAGGGAGCATTGCGCAACTTTAAACCAGCATGTTCCCTCATTGATCAGCAACTTAACAACGAAACAACGTTAACCGGGACGACTTTAAGTGAGGAGTTACTGTACTCTCATCCAATTTTGGTTAGAACAAACAGTTGAGTTGTCTCCAGAGTTTTATTTTCATATCAATACCAAGTGTAAACCAAGTTTGTGCATCCAGCGTTACCATAATGCTTAGCTGTGTTAGTGTCAGTGCAGTCTGAAAAAATCTGGGTAACTACCCCAGAGTAGGGAATAGACCACCTGAAGGATATGCATATCAAGCATCACCACTAGCTAAGGCAGAGGTGGGCAAACTACGGCCCCGAGGCCACATCCGGTCCTCCAGGCGTTTTAATCTGGCCCTCGAGTTCCTGCCTGGAAGCGGGGTCTGGGGCTTGCCGCACTCCGGCACTCCAGCCAGGGAGCGAGAACGGGGTCTTGCCCCACTCCGAACGGTTCCCGGAAGCAGTGGCGTGTTCCCCCTCTGGTTCTTATGTGTAGGGGCAGCCACAGGGCTCCACACGCTGCCCCCACCCCAAGCGCTGCCCCTGCAGCTCCCATGGCTGGGAATCACAGCTAATGGGAGCTGCAGGGGCAGCGCCTGTGGACAGGGCAGCGCGCAGAGACGCCTGGCCATACCTCTGCATAGGAGCCGGAGGGGGGACATGCTGCTGTTTCTGGGAGCTGCTTGAGGTAAGCACCACCCAGAGCCTGCCCCCCGACCTCCTCTTGTGCTTCAACCCCCTGTCCCAGCCCTGATCCCCCTCCCACCCTCCGAACACCTTATCCCCAGCCCCACCCCAGAGCCCGTACCCCCAGTCGGCACTCTCCTGCACCCCAACCCCCAATTTCGTGAGCATTCATGGCCCGCTGTACAATTTCCATACCCAGATGTGGCCCTCAGGCCAAAAAGTTTGCCCACTCCTGAGCTAAGGGAACAATGGAATTTACATCCCTTTCTACAGTGGAATATTTTGGTGCTGGAACCTCTGCCACAATTGTTGAATGCCCTATGTTCACACACACAAAAGAATATTTACAAAGGTGCACAAGTGCTGCCAGCAACACTGAACCTGAACTTCCTTGGAGCAAGTCTCTGCACTTTTGTATCCGGCATTGGCTTACTTCACTTCTGCACCTGTAGTGCATTGAGCAAATGTTGGTGTTGCAGTTGCAACATTGCATTTGGTCCTCCCAGCACCAACCCACAATGTTCCTGCAACTCCTTCAGGAGCTACTCTGTGCAGAAACTCCAGTAATTCCAATTACTTTCTTGTTTTAAGTGCAACTTCTGTAATTTTTTGCATACAAAATCTCCATTTCATATAGTACAATGCATGCAGTTTTAAGGCTTTTCTTGGTTTAAAAGAAGTAATATTTTATATAATACTGATACATTTTTTAAATAAATGTATTTCAGACATTAACAAATGCTAATTTATATATTTCACATTTTAATTTTTTTCTTAAATCTCTCCAAGTGTGGATTATTATTCTCCAAAAAACCCTGCTTCAGGTATTGGTATTAGTATTCATGATATATTGGTACCACAATAAGAGGGAGTGCTGAATGTGGACACAATCAACACAACAGGCTTCCAGTAGTCCAGACTGCTAGTGTTTATACAATGAACTGTTACAGGAGTAGAGCAGAACTGTTGTAAATTATAATATAATATAAATTATAATTATAACTTGTTATGCAGTGTGGACAAAGCATAGATTATCATATTGCTCACAGAGTTTAAACTAGGAGAAAAAAAGCCCAGCCGAACTGGTTATACAGGTTTAAAAGGGAAGAGAGGTGCCCATCCACTTACTGTTCCAGGCTTCTTGCAAGGACAAACCATGAGCACTTGTCACAATTACTAATTGAGCATTAACTATGTAGCCTGTAGAAACAGACCATGTTGAAAGTTAGTCTTGCAACCAACAAGCTCAGCTATATCATAGACAGGACCTACAAAAAACTATTTATTGGCTAACTGACAATGAAGGGCAATAATGGGTATAGGATAGTAACACCAAGGATGGAAAGGAAATGTTTGAGACTACCCAAAGGAGTATAAGGAAAATGGGATGAAACTGCATAGAATCTTTGGCAAAAGAAGAAAGCTGTTTTCTGTTTTTCTAAGTAGTGTGATCTATCAGACAATGAAATAGTCTCCCAATAAACACTGTGACTTCTGCATTCGTTTAAAACTCAGCTACGCAGATAAATTGAGACTATATTATAGGAAATAATCCTGCAATGACAAAGGAGTTCTTTGTTTTTCTAAATACACACAAGTGTAATAATATGAACGATCTCCTTTTGACTATGACTTGTTTTAATCACTGAATCTCTGGAGTTAGATTTACATGTGCTGCTGCCTATTATTTGAATTTTGATATCTTTTAAGGAAGCTAAGTGAAAGCAGTGGGCTTAAGCAGAATCACAGATGAGGTAACAAAAGATGAGACGAGGCGAGAGAGTTTCATCAAGTAATCAATACAACTGGAGATCAGAGAAAGTATCAAAAGACTGAAAAAAGCAGCTGTTTTCCTGGTACAGCACAAGGGGTAGGGCGAAAAGAAAAGTAAAAATGCTGATGAGATCACTTTTGTCAATTATTCCTAGAGATTTTGTTTTTTATTACCTGAAGAGAT